CAACTCGGCGTTCTACCTATACGCTGGAAAGTACGCAGGCGTTGTCGCGAAGAAATTCGGACTAACACCGACCACAGTCACGACTCCCTACCGCTACGGGAACAACAACGACACCTCCGCAAAACTCCCCGCGAAGCAAATCCAAGAGTATCAGCAGAAGCTCGGCTGCCTACTATTCGCAGCAGTAACTTGCCGACCGGACCTATCTTACAGCGCGAGCCAAGTGGCGACGCATCTGAAGCAGCCGGAACAAAAAGATCTCGAGGAACTAAATCGGGCACTACTCTACTTCGTCCCTACGCCGACGACTGAACTTACCTACAGCAAAGCGACGACATCGTCCGTACAACTACTCGGATACGTCGACGCCGACCACGCGGGAGACAGGGAAAATCGACGCTCAAGGACGGGCTACATCTACCGACTAGAGCCTATCGGGACTATCTCATGGCAGTCGAGCAAACAAGAACTAATCGCACTATCTTCGGCTGAGGCAGAATATATCGCCCTCAGCACTGCGACCAAGGAAGGACTTTACCTGCGAGAGTTACTCGAGGAAGCAAATATTGCAACCCTGCCCGTCTTCTCACTCTTCTGCGACAACCAATCTCCGATCAAAATAGCGAACAAAGACGGTTTCGCCAACCGAACCAAGCACATCGCCCTGCGGTACTTCTTCGTCAAGGATGAAATCACGAAGAGGAGACTTCAACTCAGTTACTGCCCCTCGACAGAAATGGCAGCAGACTACCTGACGAAGAAACTGGCGAAGGCAAAGTTCGATTACTGCATGCTGCTGACTGGGCAGATAAACGTCACCAAATCTGGACACGTCAGCACTCCAGAAACGAAGGGGCGTGTTGGAAATACCTCAAGGACTTGAGCGTTTCTGAAGTGTAACACCACACTCGAGTGAAGCCGTATCGAGTATGCGAGTCAACGGAGGTTACACGAGGAGGTTGGACGAAAGAACATGAAAGGACGAAAGACTCGAAGGGTCGCAACCGGTGGTTGCGACTGATCGTTACAGCTGCAAGGATGGTAACGGATGCGACAATTGAATCGCTGCGCGACGCGATAACTGCGTTTTCAACTGTATACTACAACTGTTTTACTCTCCTACTTTCTATATATTGTTGTATGCTTGTTCTCTTAATTACTTGCTCTCACATACTAGTGCAAGGGTTCAACTACTCAACTTCCGCTGCACTATTCAAATATCTTGTGTAACCGGGACTTAGTCTCTGAACGATCGTAAGGGCTTTTTCTCAGCCCAACAAGGAGGAATACCGTTTGACCAGAACTCTAGTTACCTAGTACATTACCATTCCCACAGAATCACAAGCAGCCCACAATAGTAAAATAAAAGTATACCATTGTTCCACTCTTATGTAGTCATGGTGCTACGGACTTCATCGGTTGAAGTAGGATATGAGTGCATAATACCTGAAAACGACGAAGCAAGAGATGCATGTGTTGGAATAGGTTGGTGAGTGCATACATAGTAATGGAAGAGCACAGCGTGTGTGTGGGGAGTGAGGGCAACGAGGTATATTCTTGAGGCCACAAAAATAGTGTGTGTGTGGGGGGAAGGGAGTGAGGGCGAGGGGGTGAAAGAGTGAGGGGGACAGAGGCATACCAGAATCCGCCAATATAGGTGAAGGATGCAAGGAAGGCCATGGCGACAGATCCCTTCACCAGCCCACAGTCATTGTTGCCGGCACTGCAGCAGCAGAGCAATGGGGTAAGGGGGGAGGAGGGGGGGGAGGGGGGAGAGAGACGGAGAGAGGGACATGAATCCGCCAATGTAGGTAAAGGATGCAAGGAAGGCCACGGCGACAGATCCATTCACCAGCCCAGTCATTGTTGCCAGCACTGCAGCAGCAGAGCAATGGGAAAAAACGACCAGAGAGGGAGAATATGGTAAGAGTTCGGTTCAGAAAACTGCGTGCAGTTATCCCACATTTCTTGTGCCATTGATTGACAAGGTGTACTTTGAGTCTTCTCAAAATAGGCGTATTTTGATGTATTTTGAGTCGACTCAAAATACAACGGGAGAGTAAGGTAAGAGCTCAGTTCAGTAACTCAGTGCAGTTACCCCACAATATTGTTCCCTTAGTTGACATGGCCGATCTCAGCTGGTACTCAGTCTCTCGAAAGTCAAAACCACTGCACTCTTGGCATGCCTTTCCTCCTTGCGAGGATGACATGACAGGTTCTAGAAGCTTCCCCACAAGAACAAATGAGGAATCCGGTATTAACAACAGCATCCGTGGCACTTCCATGTAGTAGCCGTAGTAACTGCCTCCAGAGGTGCTCACGCAACGGCCGCAGCTGATGATGCCATTCGTGAATGCCAACCGTGCCCAGTGAGTGAGGAGCTACTATGCACAGCAGCCAGCACTCACATGTAGTAGCCGTAGTAGCTGCCTCCAGCGATGCTGGTGCAGCCCGCCACCTGCGCGCCCCCCGTGCACGCCGCCGCGAAGATGAGCAGCGAGAGCAGCTAGCGGAGGGAATGGGGGGAGCGGAAAAGGGGAAGGAAGAACAAGCGGGTGGGGGGAGGGGGTGGGGGAAGGGGCAACTGCGCATTTCGACACCTGCGTGCCCCCCGTGCACGCCGCAGCGAAGATGAGCAGCGGGAGCAGCTGCCGGGGGGAGCACCAAAGGATGGCGGGGACGGGAGGGGACGGAAGGAAAGAAGGAAGAATAGAAGGAGTGGAGGGAGGGGGGAACAACTGCGCAGCTCGATACCTGCACGCCGCAGCGAAGATGAGCAGCTGTAGCGGGCCAAGCAATAGAGAGCGGGGGCGGGCGGAAATGGCGGAGCGGCGGTTCGAGAAAGTGATAAAATGGTTGGGGGGGGGGAGGGGGGAGGGAAGCATCGCTGTCAGAGTCCCATGCTTTAGTGAACTTTCCTCTGCTACGCCAATGACGCACCCAGCACTCGACGACTTGGAAGAGGTGCGCTTTCCCCTTGAAGGCGTCGAGCGTGCGGAATAAGGAGGCAAGACCTGCCGAGTTTTCCCCCCGTGACTAATCAACTGTTAGCCAGCAATGATGTATTTTGACTCAAAATACAACTAATCCAACTGTTAGCCAGCAATGACTCACCCAGCACTCGACGACTTGGAAGAGGCGCACCTCCCCCTGGAAGCGAGATGGCAGGGCGGGACCGCGAAAACAGCGGACACTGTAACCGCTCCCACCAGCCCGAAATGGGACACTGTCTCTCCTAGAAATATCACTCACCCAGCACTCGACGACTTGGAAGAGGCGCGCTTTCCCCTGGAAGGCGTCTAGCGCGCGCACGAAAATGGAGGCGACGAGGAAGACGAGGACGAAGACGGCGAGGATGAACCCGATGATCGTCGCCGCCAGGAGAAACGCGCCCGCGCTGATCTTGGTGTAGTCGTACTTGGTCGACACGAGGAGGCTGCGGGGGGCGAGGCGGGAAGGGGGGGAAGGGGGGGACGAGCGGAAGAGAAAGGGAGCAGTTTTGAGCGGTCAAGGCGGGAGGCAGGCGAGGACGCAGGCGGTGATGGTCGGGGCGAGGAGAAACGCGCCCGCGCTCATTTTGGTGTAGTCGCACTTGGTCGAGGAAGAGGCTGAAGTGGGAGCGAGGGAAACGGAGAGAAAGCAAGGTGCTGTTTTGCTCGAGAAATGGGGAGAAAGTGATGTTTTGAAATGGCTGTTAGGAGGGAGTGCCTTCAGTCTCGCACGTGTATTCGGAACATGTTTTTTTCTCTCTCTCTCGCGAATAAATTCAACGTTACTGTCCTCGCTACGGGTGGCAAGGCGTCGCAAGACGTCGCGTGGTGTCGCAAGTCGTCGCGACGTGTCGCAAGAGGTCGGCGGAGAAGACTCACGCGAAGGAGATCATGCAGAGGAGCAGCTCGGCAATGCGCAGCCCGATGCCGATAAACACCGGCATTCGCGACGACCCGGAGCCGCCGCCAGTCGCGGGGGGCGGGGTCGGCTTGCCCGCCTCGACGTCCGTGTAGCCCGCGGGGGGAGGCGGGTTTCCGCCCGTCGGCGGGTAGTTCGGCGGCGGTGGGTTACCGTCGTACGGCGGGTTACCAGCGTACGGCGGATTGCTGACAGGAGGAGGATACTCGGCCATGGCGTGGAGGTCGGAGGAGCGAGAGTGGCGTGATACGGAGAGGAAACGAAGGTGGAGGCTCAAAGAACGGCGACGTTGAGATGATTGACGCTTATAAATACCAGCTTCAACGCTAAGGCTTCCCTGTTCTTGGCTAAATGGTCAATGCAAACGGGTCTCGAGAATAAGAGAGGACTTGCACGGTTTGTCTCTTTTATGTTGTGGAGAGAAGAGGGAGGGAAGGCAAATTGTGTCGGTGCAGTCACGACTCAACTCTCAAGAAGCACGCGTCTCTCGGGGGTTGCTGTGGCGCATTGTCTGTAGGATCTGTGGGGGAAATGGTGAGAGCAGGCAGGAAGGAGAGCGAGGGGGAGACGGAAAGGGAAGCCGCAAAAATTGCGGCAATCTCGGTTAGGCGCCACGAGCGACAGGAAAGGGGCAAATTGCGTGCCCAGGTGGAAACTGAGTTGAGCCTTCCCAGCCTAAACCGGAGCGAACCGCTTTCCCTGGCCCGGGACATGCGCTTCGTGCGGAGGTTCACCACCAAACGAGCTTTTCGACGAGCGGACGTGGCTCGATGTGGCAGTGGGGCTGTAATTTGTCTCACAATTGGCTGTTGGTCGTTCGGCAGCTGTCTGATTCGCCGACAGCAGCCCTCAGAGACTACACTTCGAAGGCTCGGTAACCATTGCCCAATGGGGGGGAAGCCCGAGGAGGCCGGTAATGAACAGTGAATATGGAAAAATCCACCTATGGCAGGAGAGATGGCTCCTCTTGTGACTTGGTGTTACGAACCAGCCAGCTGAGGAGGAAAGTTGGCAGGTGTGCCAGTAGCGTTATGTCCCGATCGAGCGGACATATTGACCTGGACGACTGTATCCGACGGTCAGCCTTGGAGCAAAGTGTAGGGTATTAATCGGTTTTAGAGCACACTCGTTAACAATAGAACCAGACACGGATATATCAGCTCAATTGCTCAGGGGTGCTAACGAATATACGAGTGTTAGGGAAGTCATGTAGCAAAGGATTGTAGCCATCTTTAGTGAAGGTATTGCCGGCGATTGAAGATAGAAATTCCGCAGAAGATATCTGTCAGGGTGGAAAATGGCATAATAGAATGCATCGGTTGAAAGGCATAAAGCTATGGTAGAACCGTAGAAGTGAAAACATGGATATTAGAGCAAGGGGACATTGAGGAAAGAAAGGGGACTACGAGGGTGAGGGGATCTTACTTAATCTGATGCTAGAGAGTAACGACAAGTCCAGCTCATACTGCAACCACTACAGAATGGTCTACTCACTGAGCCGCGGATCCGCTCAACTGAGGATGGGGCACAGGCAGCAGCATCCATTCTCTCAAGCAGCCCAAAGTCTGTCGGGAAGAAAATGTCGGCCGAACCCTGCATAGGGAATTATTGGAATACGGGCAAGAGGGAAAGAAAGGTTGGGGGGAGGGAGGTGGGCGGTGGAAGGGGAGGGAGAGGGGGGCAGAGGCAGCAGCAACCTTTCTCTCAAACAAATGCCTGCTGAGCCCTGCGCATGGCATTATCAAGATACGGGTGAGAGGAAAAAAAAAATGGGGGGGGGGTGGTTGGGTGGGGGCGCGGGGGGAGGGGGGGAGGGGAGGTGGTGGGGGAGGGGGGCAGAGGCAGCAGCATGCTGTCTCCCAAACGCATGTCTGGCGAGCCCTGCACATGGCAATGTTAACATACGGGCAAGAGGAAGAAGAAAGGTGGTGGAAGGGGAGAGTAGGCAGCAACATCTCTTCTCTCAAGCAGCCATAAGTCCATTGAAAGAATAGTCGGCTGAGCCCTGCACAGGGCACTACTGGAATGTGGGCGAGGGGTAATGTAAGGGCAGGGTCGGGGGGGGGGGGAGAGCATTACTTAGCAATGAAAAAAGAAGCAACACAAAGTGAACCAGGAGTGGGAATAATAGTCATGCATGTGAACGGGAGAGGATCATGACATGTGACGGCAACAATCAGAAAGCGCATCGCTCCTTACGCGGGGGACGAGGTATGTAGGTTGGTCTTGAGTGACGCCTCCCCGCTAGTGTTGTGCAGCGATTCATGTCGTAGTTCACATCAGGTGTCATGATTCACATCAAATGTCATGATTCACATCAAATGTCATGATTCACATCAAATGTCATGATTCACATCAAATGTCATGATTCACATCAAATGTCATGATTCATATCAAATGTCATGATTCACATCAAATGTCATGATTCACATCAAATGTCATGATTCACATCAACTGTCATGATTCACATCAAATGTCATGATTCACATCAAATGTCATGATTCACATCAAATGTCATGATTCACATCAAATGTCATGGTTCACATCAAATGTCATGATTCACATCAAATGTCATGGTTCACATCAAATGTCATGATTCACATCAAATGTCATGATTCACATCAAATGGCATGGTTCACATCAGATGTCACAGAGGGATGGAGGCATGGATGCATGGACAAAGGCTATAGGTAGGGAGTATAGGAGCAGAGGCGTATCGGAATTCTGTGAAGTTTGTTAAGTACAGGGAAGTGAATTTGAAACATAGATGCAAGGCTAGGAGCGGAAACGAATTGGCGGTTCCAAAAATAGGTTGCTCTTGCAGTCACATGGCCGCACGCACCCATCCCAGCCTCTCCTGACGCTCTCTTGCCCCAAGCCCTTACCTTAGCAGCCACCAGGGGGGCGTTGGCCCCTGCGATTCGCACGTCAGGCAGGAAGGAGAAGTCCGCAGCGATCACAGTGGCGTTGGGGCGGGCTGTGTAGACGGTCTCCAGCAGTCGCTGGGGGGTTGCAGGAGAGAAGGGGAGAACAAGGGGGGCGAGAAGGAGAAGGAGGGGGGAGGGTGGAAAGTCAGCCACGATCACAGAGGTGCTGGGGCGGGTGCGTAGATGGTCTCTAGGAAGCGGTAAGGGGGGGCAGGGGAGAAGGACGAGGGGTGATAGCGATTACAGTTGGTCGGCCAGGAGGTAGGAGAAAAGCAAGTGAACAACACAAAGTCAGCCACGATCACAGTGGCGTTGGGGCGGGCTGCATAGACGGTCTCCAGCAGGCGCTGGGGAGGGGCAGGGAGAGAATGGCGTTGGGCGAGCAGGTGCTGGTGGGTGTATGTAGGGGAAGGTGGGGCGGAAAGGGGGGGAAAGGGGAGGAAAGGGGGGGAAATGGGGGGAAAGGGGGGGAAATGGGGGGAAAGGGGGGGAAATGGGGGAAGGGAGGGGGGAAGGGAGGGGGGAAGGAGGGGGGAAGGGGAGAAGGGTTGGCCGGAGGAAGCAAGGGAGAAGGTGGAATCAAGGAGACGTCGGCAGAGATTACTGTGGGTGGCATGGGGCGAGCTGGGGCGGGGGGGAGGAGGGAGGGGTAACAGGGGGTGAGACAAGGAGAGAAAGCGCGAGAGGTATGAGAGAAATGAGAGCAAGGCAAGTGCCTTGATTCCGTGCCTCCCACCCACCATCCTCCCCCACACTCCCCCACTCCTCCTCCTTTGTTCCCTTCCCCGGTAACCACACCCATCACTCACCACACCCATCACTCACCACACCCATCACTCACCATGCACCCTGTGGGCAGCCATGTGACCCTCTCTCCGCCCATCAATGATGCCAGCATTCCTTGCAAAGACGAGGACAAACGGGAGAGCATGCTGCCGCCGCCGCCGCTGCTGCTGCTGCTGCTGCCGCTGCTGCTGCTGAGAGGTGGGCTCACTCCTGAAGAGGGACTCTGGTTCTGCAAGATGGGGAACGAAGGGTGTGGAGATGGGAACGACGGTTGTGGAAGAAATGGGAAGAAAGCGATGGAATTGTAGCCATTAAGCGTTAGGGTGGGCTGCAACAAGTTCCGAACAAGAAACGGGAAGAAAGCAATGGAAGGTCAAATGGGCATGCCAGAGGGAGACGCTTCTAGTCTTGGACTCTCCACGTCAGAGCCAAAAATATGACCACAGGGGTAGTACCGTGGTGCTGGGAGATCGTCCGAGGGCCCTCGTGCCAAAACTATGACCGCATAGGTAGTGCCGAAGCAACTCGAACGACACTGGCCCTGCCGCACCACTCGAAGCACCTCTCCTTTCCACGTCCGAAGGTGCCGTGTGACATTGTAACGAGGTGCCGTGTGACATTGTAACGAGGTGACTTCAGAGTGAACTCAAAAGCACCTATCCCTCACCCCCCTCCCTCACGTCCGCAGGGGCTCACTAGCGCAGTCGCCAGGCGACACAACTTTTGAGTCGACTTAAGAGTTCCCACGTCCGCACCGCAGCGGCTCACCAGGACAGTCGTGAGGCATCGCTGAATGAGCGGATCGCTGACGCGTCGAAGCACCTCACACGGCCTTGATTTCTCCTCCTCTAGAACCTTGTTGCATGATTTTTCCCATCCTTCCAAATGCCTCACTCTGGTCTCTTGCCACTCGTTCTCCTCTCTGCACCACTGCACGCGGTCGTGGGGCAGATTGTCCAACACCTAAGGGAGTGGGCAGGGCAAGGGATGAGCGAGAGGGAGAAGAAGCAAGGAGGGTTTCCCTCGGCTCGGGCCTCACCCTGCTGCAACGCACGTGGTCATGAGGCCTTTTTTTGGGTTTTATTTTCCTATCGGAAAGGAAGACTCACCTCGAAAAAGCTCTTTGGTTGAATGGAGAGGAAAGCTCACCTCGAATAAGAGAATGAAGCAAGGTTCATTGGATGGTGTGCCTGCTAGCAGGCAGCATAGCATGGCAAGATGGAGCAACAGGATAAGATGAGACGGCCTGGTGAGACTCAGTGACAGGATACGGGAACGGATGGGCAGCAACGGAAATCGAGAAAAAAAGAATATGGACGTTAGTGCCGACAGCAAGAGTCTTTATCGCTCCCTTCACTTTCCACTTTCCCCTTTCCCTTCTCGCTCGCCTCCCTCCCTCCTTCACTCCCCTCACACCCCTTCCCTCCACACCCAGAAGCACACATCCCATCACACTCACTCACCCCACCCCTTGGCATCAGCAGCATCAAACACCGCCACTGAGTGCACCGCCTCGTGAGAAGCATCATCGGATCCAAAGCTTCTCCTTGCCCCATTCGCCACCCAAGGCGCTCTGCGAACCGCAGATAAAGCGGCTGGAGCTTGTGTCCCAGTAGCTGTGGCAGCTGTGGCAGTCGCAGGCACATGCATATGCTTTGTTGTAATTCTTTCTCTCTGCCTCTTGGCGAGAGCAGGGCTGATTTCCACAGAGCTGAGGGGGATGGGGGACGGGAGGACGGGGGAGGGGGGCAGGGACGAGGAGAACAGCGAAGTTGTCTCAGTAGCTGCAGGCAGGCGCATGCACGTGCCCTGTGAACCTCCGCCCCTGCCTCCTAGCGAGAGCACGGCTGAAAACCACACAGCTAAGGAGTGTGGCGACATTTTTCTGGATTCTAAAAAAATGACTCCAGGAGAGTGGTGAGGGGAGAACAAGGAATTGCGGAGAGAAGATGCGAGGAAAGCACGATGTATTAGGACGTATGAATGTAGAGCAGCAGCAGCAGCAGCAGAAGATGCGCACTCACGTGTAGCGGCAGCGCCTGTACACAGCTGGGGCCGTCTCTTGCAATCTGTCCAGAATATTCCGAGCCAGCGTGCCGCCGCCCCCTCCCACCTCATAGATCTACTGTTGTAGGGTTGGGGGAATGCAGCAGATGGATTTTCCGAGGTGCAAAAGCATAGCCGTGCCATGGACTGTAGTAGAGGTGACTTTGGAGTCGACCCAAAACCCAAAAGTCAGGCGCAAAAGCATAGCCGTGCTGTGGCTGGTAGGGGGGCGGAGTGCAGGTGCTTGGGAAAGACAAGGGAAGCAGCAGAAATCTGGAAAAGGCAGTGGAAGGCAGGGGCGGAGCAAGTGACTGGCTGGAACGCAAACCCACGTTGAGTGGGGAAGTTTGAGAGGTGAGAAGAGAATGATATCCGCCGCAGCGTTGCCGTAGCATACAGAGTACTTGGGATAGGCAGGGCAGGATCATGTATGCGCGATGATACACACACACACATGGCTGCAACCTCACCTTGAGTGGGGTGGCTGAGGAGTGGGAGGAGAGGATGAAATCCAACACCGCATAGCCGTACCATGGCTGGTGGAGGGACGGATGCACCACGTCAACAGACGGCACACATGGCAGATCAGCGTGGCAGATCAGCGTGGCAGATCAGCGTGGCAGATCAGCATGGGAGATTAGCATGGGAGATCAGCATGGGAGATCAGCATGGGAGATCAGCATGGGAGATCAGCATGGGAGATCAGCATGGGAGATCAGCATGGGAGATAAGCATGGGAGATCAGCATGGGAGATCAGCATGGGAGATCAGCATGGGAGATTAGCATGGGAGATAAGCATGGGAGATAAACATGGGAGATAAACATGGGAGATTAACATGGGAGATTAACATGCAAACACATGGAAAACGGCATGGAACGTCCACTTGGGCATCCCACGCAGCATGAACACCCACGGGCCATGTCTCTTCATCCCACCGCCTTCTCTCCACATGATCTTTTGCTAGAGGCACACATAGCACGGGCATGTGCGACAAGGCAGACAGAGAGAGAAAGCTTTTGAGTCGACTCAAAAGCTGAGCGAACAGGGCAGACAGAAAGAGAAAGCTTTTGAGAAAGAGAAAGCTTTTGAGAAAGAGAAAGCTTTTGAGAAAGAGAAAGCTTTTGAGAAAGAGAAAGCTTTTGAGAAAGAGAAAGCTTTTGAGAAAGAGAAAGCTTTTGAGAAAGAGAAAGGGAACGAGAACGAGCAAGAGAACGAGAAAGAGAAACAAGCCTTTGCTTTGTCTGCAACACCCATCTTTGCGTTTTCACCTGAAACAGCTCCGAGGGTGTGAACCAGGCGGTATCAGCAGAGGCGTAGAGCGATCGCTGCAGAGCCTCCCACTCCCTGCGCCCCGCCAGCTGGCGAAAGCTGATTGGCTTGGCGAGGGCGCCGACTGCAGCAGCGTTGGAGACGAAATAACCCTCCGTGGGGTGGTAGAGGGAGGCGTGTATGAAGTCACGGACCTGGGGGGGGGCGGGGAATAGAGGGGGAGGGGGGGGGAGGGGGAGGAATGGGGTGAGGGGGAGGGAGTGGATGAAGTCGAAATAACCCTCCGTGGGGTGGAAGAGAGAGGCGAGGTAGAAGTCATGGACCTGGGGGGAGGGGAGGAGGGGGTTGGGGGTAGGGGGTAGGGGTTAGGGGGTAGGGGGTAGGGGGTAAGGGGTAGGAGGTAGGGGTTAGGGGGTAGGGTTTAGGGGGTAGGGGTTAGGGGTTAGGGGTTAGGGGTTAGGGGGTAGGGGGTAGGGGGAGAAGATGAAATGGGCAGGGGGGAGTGGATGAAGACAAAATAGCCCACGGTGCACTGGTAGAGAAATGAGTGGATGACGTCACGGACCTTGGGGGGAGGGCACGGGGGAGGGGGAGAGGCAGGCAGGGGAGGTGAACGGGCAGGTGACTAGAGGGAAGCGTGGATGACGTCACCGACCTGAGGGGAGGAAGGGGAGGGGGAGGGGGATTTTTGACGGACGGGAGTTGGGGGGTGGGGGTGGGGGTGGGGGTGAGGGGGGTGGGGGTGGGGGTGAGGGGGGTGGGGGTGGGGGTGGGGGTGAGGGGGGTGGGGGTGGGGGGTGAGGGGTAACATCGTTGGAGGTGATTAGAGCGGCAACAGCCCTTGGAAACAAAGCAGCAGTCCGTGGGGTGGTAGTGGGAGGCGAGGGTGAAGTCCCGGACCTGAGGAGGAGGGCTGTGGAGGGACGGAATTTGGAAGCACGGGGGGTGGGGGGGTCGGGGTGGTGTGGTGGGGGGATAGGGGTAGCATGGTTGGACACAAAGTACTCTTGGATTGGGTGGTAGAGGGAGGAATGGAGGAATGACGGACCTGGGAGGAACGGGGAGAGAGGGGGGGGGTTGAGGGGGAAAGGGAGGCAAGGGGGGGGGAACGGAGCACGTGACTCGAGCAGCAGCGTTGAGGAGCAGCGTTGGGGAGCAGCGTTGGGGAGCAGCGTTGGGGAGCAGCGTTGGGTAGCAGCGTTGGGGAGCAGCGTTGGGTAGCAGCGTTGGGGAGCAGCGTTGGGGAGCAGCGTTGGCGAGAAGCGTTGGGTAGCAGCGTTGGGGAGCAGCGTTGGGGAGCAGCGTTGGGGAGCAGCGTTGGGGAGCAGCGTTGGGTAGCAGCGTTGGGGAGCAGCGTTGGGGAGCAGCGTTGGGGAGCAGCGTTGGGGAGCAGCGGTGGGGAGCAGCGGTGGGGAGCAGCGGTGGGGAGGGGAGGAGTGTAGAAGGGGGAAATGAGTGGATGAATTCGATTACCTGTTTCGACGATGTTAAGGGAAGGGGAAAGGCCGGGGTGGCGGAGGGGGGTTGGAGGGGGAGTGGGGAGAAGGGGGGGATTGGGGTTGAGATTTGGAATAGGGAGAGAGTGGAGGTGGGGTTGTTGACGTAAGAGGAGACGGTGGAGTAAAATTGGTGCTTAAAAGCAGACCGTCTGATTCGTTGTTGTTGAGAATTGGTGGAATCGGTGACCCACTCGAGTGAATAGGATCGGTCCTTACAAGCACGCCGTCTGATTCGCCTCTGCTCATTGCCTCAGCCGCCGTCGGATCCGCGCATTCATCCTTCGGCTCCCCGCAATTCGCGCTACTAACCCCATCACCCCCTTTTGTCTCCGCTGCCCGATCTCCGTCAACCCCGATATCGTTGGCTCCGTTAGAGAAACGGCGAAACCGGACTTGGAGGGGTGCAACAAAAGTGACCGGAATTCGCGCGACTGTATCGCTGGCTACTGTTATCGAGGGAAACGACCTTGCTTTTGCTCCCGCACAAAGGTCTGGCACCGGAAAGCTTCTAGCCAGGCACGGCTGCAGAGCCCGCCATGAAGAACCAATGGGAACATTGGAAAAAGTTGAGGAACCGAGCTGGTTCGTTGGTGCCTGATTAGCCGAGCCGCAAAAGGCACGGCTCGCTGCTGTTCGGCTCCACGCCAAGCGAAAACGGGACAGGGACATGGCTCGCTCGCAACGGGATCTGCGGCGAGAAATGCGCAAGGTAATATGCTCCCTACTGATCAGTATCTGCTGGCAATGACCTAATGACTCGATACAACAGGAAATCAGCAACCAGGTATTAGCAACAATGTAGTGAATCAGTAACTATGTGTTTCGTCTGGTACTGGTATGCACAGAAAACATCTTATACATGCATAAACATGTACATTCTAGAATCCATCTTTGTGTGTGTAATACAGTACAGATCCTCTATTAGCTGGCAGGTTGTTAGAGATTGTCACTTCACGCGCCCTGCCAGAAGACATCATTGACCACAGCGTCGCGTTTCCAGCCCACTTGGTTCTGGCGTCGTTTCAGACGAGCATTTGGTCTACTATCACTAAAACGAAAGCTTTCCCGAGTCTATGGAATTTATAATATTGCTCTTCCGCTTTTATAAAATTTTATTTCGTTGTTGCTGTCTTCTGTTCAAAATGTTTGGGTTTAGACACTCCCAGAGAGTGGTTGCAATTCCAGTAGTACCTGGCATGTGAATGTGAGGCGGCAGAGAAGTTAATTAGATCAGTGTGGTCTCCCAGTCAGATTGTGTTGGTGTTTAGCAGGTAGGACGTTTCCGAGGCAACTCCCACGGATTACTGGGTAAAGTTCAGAACTTACTTTACAACCCAGTCCAATCTGCCCTCGGTTTTCCCCTGCCCGCATCCTCTCGTCCTTACTGGTCTCGTTCGCTCCGCCCCCACTGGTCTCTATGTCGTCCTCCGCTCATCCTGCTCGACCCTCCGCTTCCTGAACAAATGGTGCTTCAAACTCGGTACCCTTTTCCAACAAACACCACACTTTACCGTGTGGTATCCGACTGCTATCGATTAAACCGTGTTATACCGCGCTTTCATTTCGCGGCTTGCTATGATACCTCCCTCCCCCACTCCCTCCCACTCGCCCCACCTGCTGCTCCCTCCCTCGTGCCAATACGGCCTGTATTCCTGTCACAAACCGAGAGAGTCTGGCCTGCTTCAGCTTTCTTTGTCCCAGAAGCCTCCAACCGACTGTGAAACAGCAAGACCCCTTGCATTACTGTACTCGTAACAGCGCAAGCCTCCTCTCCTCGCCGTCCGAGTTGCCCAATCAGTGATCGCATCTAGTAGCTTGCTCCACGAGGTACCTCCGAAAGGCGCCTCAAATTTCGAGTCAGTGATCGCATCCGGTGCTGATAGTATAACGCCTCGTTGCACTAGGTCACTAGGCAAAACGAGGGTTACCCAAATAGTCAGTCCGTTGCTCAGCCACAATCATGTCTGACGGCAATCCCGAGGCTAATAACACCAGCAGCGCCAGCAGATCGACGGCCATTTTTATCGGAGAAGAACCAACGGACCCGATGGACTCAGGGAACCCCGAGAAAGCCAGTCGCCGCCCGCCCTCGCAAGGCGCTCTTTCCATCGACCTCGACTCGAGTCGCCTTCTCTCCGCCGCCGCCGGACGACGCACTCTCTCCATCGACATAGACTCTGCGAAAGCCGCCTCAAGAGGCGGCGGCGACGACGGCGCGGATGACGCCGCATTCGGCGGCTCCGCGCCGCCGAAGACGCCGTCGGAGCGCCTACGCGCTATAATGATGCAGGCCGCCACGGAAGGGCAAGACGTGGTCAAGGCGGAGTCGAGCGGGAAGCAGCGCGCCGCGGAGCTCCAAGCGAAGCGGCAGCGCAGCAAGCGAGGGGGGGGCGTCGGCGGAAGCAGCCGCCGCGTCGGCGGCACCGACACGGCCAATAATAATAACACTAGCAATAGTAGCGCTGGCTCCGAGCTCGACCGCACGGCGTCGTACGATTCTCTTTCGCGTGACGACGACGCAGCTAGTACGGGAACTGGCGGCGGCGGCGGCGGCGGCGTCGGCGGCGAGCTTTATTCGCCCGTAGATAACGGCTACGGCGAGTTCGTAGCGGCTCGGGATGATTACTCTGACTACCACGGGAAGGAGAGCGGATCCCACGGCGACGGGATACACGTCGGAATGCACGGCGGAATTCATGGCGGGCTTCACGGCGCATCGATTAGTCCGATTAGGGTGGGGCCTATGGGCCCGCGGTTCGGCGGAACGAGCCCCGGGAGCCCCACGAATTCCGAGAGCCGCCTGTTTCGCCGTGGTCCGAAGAGCTACAGCGACACGGGCACGCCGAGGAGCGAAGACGGGCGAAGCGCGGGTGCTGCTGACGTGGCAGAAGACGATTTTGGGGAAACTGGCGAGGGGGGAGGCTGGCAGCGGAAGGTGGGCAACGGTTACATTCAAATGAACGGGACGGTCGCGTCGGGGTTCACTCTGCTGGAGTTTGGGGGTAAACGCGAACAATACGAACGATATCAGGGGGTAAGTTGGCGATTAACCCTTACGAAGGCTGTGCTGTAAGAGCATCACACACATCCCCCCCCCCTCCCCCCTCCATCCACACACACACACTCACACACACACACACACACACACACACACACACACACACACACACACACACACACACACACACACACACTCACACACACACACTCCACTCACACAGGTGCATACCTTGCATAAACAAGTCCCAGAATATACACGTTACCGATCAGGAAAAAGAAGAGGACATACATCAAGTTAACATGTAATACTGCATCAAGCATGACATTTCATAATGCGCCTGATGAGGCTGATGCGGCCAGAAACCCAGAAGTCAGCGCAAGTCGTGCTGCTTTGTTTCTCCCTCGTTTTGAGGCGTCTCAAAACCCTGCCCCAATCGCCCTACTCCCCCCCCTATCCCCATCTCTCTCTCACTCCCACCGCCAGTACTGGAAACGTTTGCGCCCCGAAACCCAGAAGACAGCGCTGGTCGTGCTGCTGTTTGTCTTCTCCCTCCTCCTCACCGTCCTCCTCACTCTCCTCTTCACCTTCATGTTCGTTCCACGTCAGCACCAGCAGCCCCCGCCTCAACAACCCCCCTCGTTACAATCACCCCCAGTAGAGTCACAAGCTGCGGAATCCCAGGCACAGCTGGAAGCATCGCCAGAACTGGCATCGCCAGTAGAGGCACAAGCGCCCCCAGGAGCAGCAGAACCGTCGCTGCCGTCATCAGAATCGCCCCCTGAGTCGCCCACTTCTAGCTCGTTCAAACCTCCAGACGCACTAGTCGCCTCCCTCCAAGTGAAGGTGAGCCTTTCTTCCATACGTACCTTCCTTCTCGTTCCTCAAACCACCTCATCTTCTTCCCTCAACTCCCCCTGTTTCACCCTCCTTCCCTCACAGTATTGGGCCACGTGGCTCGATGACAGGTTTGAGACCAGCAGGCCCGAGATGCCTGGTTACCTCTGGGCGAAGCTACAGTTCCAGCTACACTTCCCCTCCATTACAACCTTCTTATCCGCAACCCAATCTTTATCCATAGATCTACTGTACCTCAACACTTCTCTCGCACCACCAGACAAGGCAACATCATACCCAAAACCCAGCGCTGACCTTCTCCCCTGGCCGATATTAGACTACACTGCGCTGAACACTACAGAAGCAGATTCACAAGTAGTTAGAGCGGTATGGGAGTGTAACAACTGTAGAATTCCGGGGGGGCATGGAGCGGCTATGGAGGAGGATGAGAAGGATGGGGAGGTGCTGGTGGTGATGCGGGTGAGAGTGGATGGGAAGCATCTAAGGGTGGTGGGTTCGAGCCACGTGATTGGTCTGAACCGGACGGTTAGTCTGAACGAGATTGGAGGGTCGAGAGCGTCTACAGGTCAACGGCACGGCATGGACTTTGTCTTTGCTGTTGTGCCGCATAAATGAGAGTTCCAAGCCTAGAAGGGATATGCGATGAACATTGGTCATAAGGGGAGGGGACTTGGGGGGGACTCTGCTATAGGGTGGCTCGACAATTCTGCATCTAGGTGGATTGGTGCTGCAATTAACTGTGATGCTGCGGCTGAGAGGTACAATGCATTACATCATTCAGCCATCATTGGTGCTGCGGCTGCATTTTACTGTGAACATGCTGAGAGGGACTGGGAACCGAAGGGAAATAGAAGCATAACATCTTGATTGCAGTTGTGTACTAATACAAGCCGGTGTCAACTTATACATATATTGTTATGTAGTAGACATAGGCTAGATAGGGTATGTTCTTAGTGGGTACAATCCAAAAGCTATATCTCCCCTGTTCTCCCTTCTTCTATTCATTTCTTCTAGTCTTAACACGGTATCACAAGTAGGTAGGTCCACCCACCCGCTTCCGCCCCGTGCCGCCACCTACCGGACCCTCGCGCCCCTAGCTGGCCCCTCGCGCCCCTACGGCCCCGTCGTGCTCTTATGGCCCCGTCGCGCCCCTACGACCCTGTCGCGCCCCTAGCAGGCCCCATCGCGCCCTTACGGCCCCGTCTCGCCCCTACGGCCCCATCGCGCCCCTGGCAGGCCCCGTCGCGTCCCTACGGCCTCGTCGCGCCCCTACGGCCCGGTCGCGCCCCTAGCAGGCCCCGGCGCACCCCTACGGCCCCGTCGCGCCCCTAGCAGGCCCCGTCGAGTTCCTACAACCCCGTCGCGCCCCTACGGCCCCTCGCGCCCCTAGCCGACCGCATCGCGCCCCTAGCTAGCCCCGTCGCGCCCCTACGGCCCCGTCGCGCCCCTACGGCCCTATCGCTCCCCTACGGCCCCGTCGTGCCCCTAGCCGGCCCCTCGCGCCCCTAGCCGCCCCCGTCGCGCCTCCTACCGGTGCCTCGCGCCCCTAGCCGGCCCCGTCGCGCCCCTACCGGCCCCTCGCGCCCCTAGCCGGCCCCGTCGCGCCCCTACCGGCCCCTCGCGCCCCTAGCCGGCCCCTCTCACCCCTACGGCCCCTCGTGCTCCTACCGCCCCCCCCGCGTCCCTAGCCGGCCCCACGCGCCCTTGCCGGCCCCGCTCGCCCAAGCCGGCCCCTTGTGCCCTAGCCAGCCCCTTGTGCCCTAGCCGGCCCCTTGAGCCGCCGATCCGCTGAGTCCCCGAGCCGCCGAGCCGCCGTGCCGCCGAGCCGCCGTACCGCCGAACCGCCGAGCCGCCGAGCCACCGAGCCGCCGAGCCGCTGCGCCGCTGTGCCGCTGTCACACTGTGCGATGGCGGACGCCATTCTTCGCTTGGACGCTGAGGGGCACGCGATCGACTTCGCCGCCTGGCTCGTCGACCTCCGCCGGCACTTGACAGGTCAGCGCCAGGATGGGCACTCCCTGGCTATGCATGTTGATGGTTTGCTTCCCCGCCCCCCTGCACCTGATCCCCTCCCTGCTGACCCTACCACTGCTAAGAGCAAAGCTTTTGCTGCTGCTGCGCTTGTTCGAGCTGTCTGGGATTCTCACGACGCAGTAGCCCAGCTTGCCATTAGCCATGCCATCCCTCTGTCTGAGCGTGCGCGCTTTACCGCTGTCACGAACGCCAAGCAATTTCTCGCTGCAGTAATTGAGCGTTACTCCACACCTGCGTCCGCCTCTGCTGGCCGCTCAATCCTACCTATGCTCGTCCCTGATCTTTCTGCTTTCCCCACGGTAGCTGACCTCGCTACTCACCTCCGTGCACTAGAGACCAGCTACCGCGCTACTAGCTCTGCCGCCCAGCTTACTACCTTCCCCCAACATTTCAACGCTACCCTGTACCTCATCGTCATGCGCATGCCTGACCGCTTAGCCACTGCCCGCGACCACTTCCTTAGTCAGCACCGTGCCGACCTCACCCTGACCTCCTTTGTCACTACTCTGTCTGAGATAGAGACTCGCCATCACACTATCGCTCAGTCGAGCAGTGTTGCGGAAGTCCCTATCTTTCAGGGTTGTGCCCCCTCCCAGTGCACGTACGCTAACGTTTCCGCCGCAGTTGCCACAACTGTGCCTGCACCTGAGACAGCAGCTGCGGCGTACCCGCAACAGTGCCAGCGACGGGGCTGCCGTGGCGCCAAGGGAGGACGTGGAGGTGGCGCTAGTGATGGTGGTGGCGGGGACAATGGTTCTGACGAGGGGGTTGGTGCTGGTGCCCAGGAGCAGCAGCAGTCGCCGTAGTCGCAGCCGTCGCAGCAGCAGCAGCCGTCCCAGCAGCGGTAGCAGCAGCAGCCGCAGCAGCAGCAGCAGCAGCAGCAGCCGTGGGCTCGTCTCCCTCCCGGGTGGCCAGGAGCCCCTAGCAATGGTGGCACTCGCAGCTTGGCATCCACCGGCAGCTTCGGTGCTGTGAGCTGCCAGTACCAGCTTCAGACCGGGCCCTTGCGTGGCACGGTGTGCCGCCGCTCGCACCCCACCGTTCGCTGATTCCGCCGCCTCGACGACCTCTTCCGTCGCCACTTTGGTCCCGCCCCGAACCTCCCTGACTGGCCCAGCCTGCTGCTCCATAGTGTGCCTGTGTTTGACTTAGACATGGATCAGATTACATCTGCATTGCATTCTCTGTATGCTAACGCTTCGAGTGTTTTCGGATCGTATTACTGTGTGTTCTCTAGCTTAGGCGTAGCACCTGTGTGTAGTCCAGACTCCCGTGCTGCGTCAAGCGTAGGACAGCTTGCTTTTTCTAGCCTAGGCTCTACCCTTGCTCCTCCGTCGTCAGCCACTACAGCGTCGCTGTCCTTCACTCTAGACTCCAGTGCGTCAGCCTGTTTCTTCCGCGACCATGCTGCCCTCACGCCGCTTGCTGCACCTGCCGCTGTCCCCCTTGCAGACCCCTCATCTGGTCCTGTAGTTGCTCGCAGCTACACTACCCTTCCCTGTCCGGCGGTTCCCTCGGGTTCCCTTACAGGCCTGCACATCCCTTCGTTCTCCAGGAACTTAGTTGATGTCGGCTATCTTCAGGACCTCGGCATCATCACTACGTTCCCTGCTCACGAGCGGTACGCGGTCTGTTCCGAGGCCGCCTCAGGTGCCCCCCTTGCGACGTTCCCCCGGGACCCTGTGTCTGGCCTCTTTACGCTGGACACTGCTTCCCCCCCCAGGCGGGCGAGTCCTCCTCCGGTTTTGCGTCCACCCAGGTAGCTGCAGCCTGCTCGTGTCGGTCACTCACTCACCCGTTACTGTTGTGGCACCACCGCCTAAGTCAACCCGCGCTCCCCCGCCTGCGTCACATGTCTCAGCACGGTCTAGTCCTCGGCCTCCCTGCGTCGCTCCCCGCTCTCCCTCCCTCGCCTGCGCCGTCGTGCACGCCCTGCGTCGAGGGCCGGCTGTGCCGTGCTCCTCATCCCTCCTTACTTCGCCCTGCCACTACACCCCTTCAGACCCTGCACTTGGACGTCTGGGGCCCAGCCCCTGTCCCTGGACCGCGTCGCGAGCGCTACTTTCTGGTGCTCGTTGACGACTTCACGCGCTATACCAAGTGTCCTTTCCCAACCATCACCTGCAGTAGGAGTAGCAGGACCCAGCCGAGTACCACCACCAGCAATCCGAGGACCGCCAACCGAAGCAGATCAACTTATGCCCATCACACGAGAAGTTTGTCGAAGTCCCGCCACGGTCGTCGCGTTCTTCTCCAACACCGACATGTACCAACGCTCGCCCGGCCATCGAGCTTCCGACGACATCTGGCACCAACGCCTTGGGCATCCTGCAAACAACACCCTACTACAAACAATCCAAGCCGAAGTATTAGAACGCAACGCTCTTCTTACACCAAGCGGCCAAGAACTTCGAAGACCTCGCGCACGGTGCTTCACGTGCCCTGAAGCAGATCTTCCTCATCAATCCTTCCAATCACATCACAACCCAAGTGCGCCTGCATACAGTACGCTGGTGCCATGGCGGCACAGGAGCTCTGCTGGCTGACCTTCTTGCTCACAGACTTAGGTGAGCGGCCTAGCTCTGCCCCGGTCCTGTACGCTGACAACAGGGCCATGATACTCCTATGTCAGGAGCCTCGGCTTGAGGGCAGAGCGAAGCATATCCAGCTGCGGTACTTCCTCCTGCGCGAGCTACAGCAGCGCCGCCAGGCCCGCGTAGTTCACTTGGCCTCAGGTGCCAACACAGCTGATATCTTTACTAAGGCGCTTGCGCCTAAAGATCATCAGCGGCACTGTGTACAGCTTGGTCTTGTTCCTGTAGCTGCTCCCCTGTTAGGATCCTGATTGTGTACTCTCTATTATATATGCTTGTCAGACTGGCCTTGTGGCCTTACCTCCGGTGGCTGGACTAGTAGTGCCACCCTGGCTTGCTTCAGTTTTGGTTGTATTCTTGCTGACTGGTCTCCAGACCCCTGCCTCAGTGGTTGGACTAGTAGTGCCGCCCTGAGCTGTTTGCTTCTTGTTTAGTTTCACCCCTTGTCTAGCCTAGGGGGTGTGTCAACTTATACATATTATCTATGAGAAGTTATAGGCTAGACCGAGGTATCCTTCTAGTGAGTACTGTCAACTTATACATATTATCTATGTAGAAGTTATAGGCTAGACTGAGGTATGCTTCTAGTGAGTACAACCAACTAGTATTTGTTCTAGGTTTCCACCTCTAGTAATCATTCATTTCTACGTTAACATGGTATCACGCTTAGGTTAGGATCCCCCCGCCTACCGCTTCCGCCCGTCGCGCCTCCTAGGCCCCGTCGCGCCCCCTAGGCCCCGTCGCGCCCCCCCTGGGCCCCGTCGCGCTCGTTAGGCCCCGTCGCGCCCCCCCTGGGCCCCGTCGTGCCCGCTGGGCCCCGTCGCGCCTCCTAGGCCCCGTCGCGCTCCCCCTAGGCCCCGTCGCGCCCGCTGGGTCCCGTCGCGACCCCTAGGCCCTAACGCGCCCCCGCTGGGCCCCGTTGCGCCTCCTAGGCCCCGTCGCGCCCCCCATGGGCCCCGTCGAGCCCGCTGAGCCCCGTCGTGCCTCCTAGGCATCGTCGCGCCTCCTAAGCCCCGTCGCGTCCCCCCCCTCTGGGCCCCGTCGCGCCCGTTCGGCCCCGTCGCGCCCCTCCTAGGCCCCGTCGCGCCCGCTGGGCCCCTTCGCGCTTCCTAGGCCCCGTCGCGCCTGCTAGGCCCCGTCGCGCCCCCCCTGGGCCCCGTCGCGCCCGTTAGGCCCCGTCGCGGCCCCCCTGGGCCCCGTCGTGCCCGCTGGTCCCCGTCGCGCCTCCTCGGCCCCGTCGCGCCCCCCCTGGGCCCCGTCGTGCCCGCTGGGCCCCGTCGCGCCCCTTAGGCCCCGTCGCGCCCGCTGGCCCCTGTCGCGCCTGCTGTTAGCGCTCGCCCGC